AGTAGTCTCTCTAACTCTACAGCAGTCTCTTGACTCTGGTAAGAAAAGGACTTCTCCCTATGACCACCTCCTCAGCCAGCTGTCAGCTTCACCCCAGGAGAAGCCTGCCTTGGTTCCTGATCTGATCACCACAGTCTGAGTGAGTGTGCATCTGCTGGATTTAGAGCCTAAGGCTTGAGACTTTTGATCTGACCCACTTGAGCTTAGCAGGCAGAGGGAATGTCTGTCATGAGCCTGTCATGATTAAGTGTGTTTGCAGTGCTTAGAATTAATCTGGATTGTTTGCTGTGAATTGATTATGTCTACTACAGTACCCAGCATTAAGGATTGTCATTTTCTTGATTAAGAACCTATACAGTGAAATTGTATTGAGTGATTTGAGTGAATAAAGCATTGAAAAGGGCAGAAGCGTGTGGACATTCTTTATTTCTCCCCCTGGACTGCATAAATTGCACCTTTTGCCCATCGAGACCTGGACCCACAGGAGTGGTCTCTCAGTTCACATGTTATTGGAAAACTTTTTTTTCTTCCAAGCTAACCAAAAAGCTAACAGAAATGATGATTCTCTACAGGGAATGTCTGTGTGATCTTGAATGGCCTTCACTGACCCTCCCTCCCCACCCAGCAGCTCAAGAGGCTGAGGCAGAAGAATCATGAGTTCAAAGCCAGCAAAAGCGAGAATCACAAACCCAGGATCATATCCAAAAATAAAAAAAAAAGGATAGAGAAAACAGAATATATAGTAAAAGGACAAAATAATCAGTGACCCAGGATGTTCATGAAGCAAATAATTTTTTTTATTCATTCAAGGAATATTTATCACCATCTAAAATATGCCAAGCATTACAGTGAGAGTATTCAAACCTCACATCTGCATTCCCAATTTTCCTGTGTTGTCCAGCACAAAAAGTTCTATCACCATTCAACAAATATTCTATGCCCAATTACTTCTCTTAATTATTTTGAACTTATGCCTTACTTGAAAAACACATAATAGAATATTCTCTGGAATGAGCAAGAGATCAAAGCCCTGAGTTCTATTCTCAAATCTGCAAAGTTCCATCAGGAGCAATATGCCACACTTTGCAATATCTGGTTTTGTTGCTAATCTAAATGCATGTAATATGTTCAACTGAAATTTTTAAAATACTGGTCATCTGCCTCACCAAAATAATAATAATAATAATGTTTGCTATTTGCTAGTCATTCTGCAGTTATTACAAAAAAAAAATCATATTCTACAGAAGGCTGAGGCAGGTGGATCACAAGTTCAAAGCCAACCTTGGCAACTCAGTAAGAACCTATATTAAAATTTAAAAATTAAAAAGGCTAGAGTTGTAGCTCAATGGTAGAGCTACTGGTTCAAACCTCAGTACCCCAAAAAATCATATTCTATAACGAAATGTAGTGTATATGATTCTTTACAAATCAAAATAAATTGCTAATCACAAACTATTAAAAATAGCATATAACTAAGGGCAGAGAATTGTTCTGGGAGCCCAAATATCTGGGACTCAGTCTATGTCTTTTTAAACTATCATATATCAAACAACTCCTGGCACTTGTGATCATTTTACCTCACGGAACGTCATCAGATTTTTGAAGCTTCCAATGTACAGACGAAGGAAATGCCAAGAACTAATTTGTTTTCTTTGGCGAGTCATTATTTCAAATAAAAACAGAGTATTAAATTTGAGGTTGGCTCAAAACAATGGGAACTAATGTTTACCAAAGAATTCTAACACTTCAGTGAAGAACATAATTGTATTTAAATATGTGATTGAAACCCTTTAATCCACCAAACACCAATGTTCTAGGCAGTTTGCAAACCACAGAATTAAGATTAGCCTGTTTAACAGACTTGTCATCATTTAAAAGGAAAGTCACCTTGATACACCTGAAAGAAAGAATGAAATGCATTTAAGGAAATAGAGACAAGAAGAAGATCCTGTGGATTTATCTATATGTTGATTTATATGCTGATTCATTAGGCAAAGAATTTGAGTCAGTGATGGCTGTTTTAATCATTAACGCCCTTCCAGCCGGTCAATTCTGAACAGACCTGGGGAAACATAAGAACTTAATTTCGAACCTAATTTTACAAAGCAAAAGAAGAGATGGAAAAATGGAAAAAAAAAAAACAAAACTGAATTCAGATGATAACTACAAAAAAAAAAAAATTCACAAACCCCAGGCCAAGTTCAGAGGGAAAAGATAATGTTAAAACTTGTCCTCCCTCATTCTTTGCACATAAGGCTCTTTCCCCAGGGGCTCTGAAATTTGTAAGTTCTACCAGATTTCTTTCACTTAGCTACTCTTCCTTTCTTTAAATTTTCTATTTTTCCAATGACAGTTTAAAAATGAAAAGAATTATATTTCATAGTTTAAAAAAGGAGAGAAACCTGACCTATCCCCACATCTCCAACATTTGCATACCATTTTATCATTAATATTTAGACTGCCTTCTTGTTTTCATCATTTGGGAAAAAGATGAGGCAAGGTGATCAACATATTATGTTTGGGACATTTTTTTTTACCACCTTATAAGGACATTGTGGCAATTATTCCATTAAAATGCTTGCAAAACACGGGCTGGGATATAGCTCACTGGTAAAGTGCCTGCCTCATAGGTATGCACAAATCCCTGAGTTCAATTCCCTATTCCAAAAAGGAAAAGACAAAAAAAAAAAAAAAATGCTTGTAAAACACCTTATACACCCTGAAGAGATGCCACCAGGCATCTCACATAAATGTGAGAAGTAGCATCATGCTAGTGTGAAAACACTGCAGGTGTAGAGTAAAACCTGATAACCTACAGGGCTACATAAAGGAAATCCTCACCTAATTTAATAATGCATCCCAATAAAAGCAGTTTAAGGAAAAATTAAGAGAAGCCAGGACATTGGAAACAAATGACTGAGTATATAGATTAAAGCATGCACATAATTCAATAGAGACCAAATAGACCAGGAAGAATGTTTTAAATCAACACAAGTCAACTACATAAGTATAAAACTAAAGAGGTTAAGAAATATTTTTGGAAACAGCTATACTTTTTAAAAAACAATCTTCTTAAAATGGTGGTAAAATATATACATAACAAAATTTACCATCTTTTTTTAAAATATTTATTTTTTAGTTGTAGGTGGATATAATATCTTTATTTCATTTTTATGTGGTGCTGAGGTTTGAACCCAGTGCCTCACGTGTACTAGGCAAGCACTCTACCCCTGAGCCACAACCCCAGCCCCCAAAATTTACCATCTTAATCAGTTTTTAAGCACACAGTTGAGTGGTGGTACATACACTCACATTGTTTTACAACTGATCTCCAGAACTCTTTTTACATGGCAAAACTAAAACTCTACACCTACTAAACAACAACATCTTAACCCCCATTCACCATTCTGCTCTTTCTACGAATTTAACTGCTCTAGGAATCTCATGTAGTGGAATCATACAGTATTTGTTCTTTTTTTTTTTTTTTTTTTTTTTTTGTAGTGGGGGTTGAACCCAAGGGCTCAATACCACTGAGCTAAGGCTGGCCTCAAACTTGCCATCCTCCTGCCTCAGCCCCTCAAATTGTCGCAATTACAGGCACGAGCCACCCCACTTACCCAGGTTTTTAAAAGATATTTTTAAACCAGAGAAGTTACAAACTGAAATGAAAGGAAATTATCTATAGTAGTCAGGGACAGAACAACACAAAGCAGAAAGTGATCTGGGAGGGCCCTGGATTTCAGAACAGACACAGAGATCCCAACCATAAAATGAGTTATCAAAAGTATGTACAGGTCCTCTTAACTAAATGTCTTTTTAACAAAAGCAGAAAAACCTAAGCAAAGAGTAGATAAGGGAAACTTTGTGAACTGACTCCAGGAAAAATATGGATTATTAAAAGTGGGTTCAGTAATCCCAGCGGCTCAGGCAGCTGAGGCAGAAGAATCACGAGTTCAAAGCCAGGCTCAGCAAAAGCAAGGCACTAAGCAACTCAGTGAGACCCTGTCTCTAAATAAAACACAAAATAGGGCTGGGGATGTGGCTTAATGGTCGAGTGTCCCTGAGTTCAATCCCTGGTACCTGCCCCCCAAAATAATGAATTCAGATCTTCCTCTCTGGAAATTTTTCTAACAAAAAGAAGAGAAATTGACCTCATGTCTTTGCTTCTTAGGATCAGATAAAGAAAGACATTGCTAGCATTATGTCAGACGAGAGTTCAATCAAAAGGAAAAGCATACTTGGGGCAGCCTGACAGCTCTTTGAGCCCCTACTAAATCAAGCTGTCTGGAAACTTGTCTGGTCGTTCTTAGACATTACTTACTTCAACACAGGTGTTCCTGAGATCCAACAATACTGGCCTGGAAGGCTATTGATTTAAGTTTTTATTAACAGCAAAAACATATCATTCAATATCAAAATACAAAAATTGCAAAAACCTAACTGCATAAACTTCAACAACCTCAAAAGCAGGCTGACTGAAATCATCAAAGAGAAGACTTAATTAAACCTGGAACTAACACTGAGGTTAGAGCCAATTTCTAACTTTTGACAACAATACGAACAAAAAGTTCTGTGTTGGAAAATTTTCGTTCTCATCATTTTAATTACGTGTGATAATCTGCAGGTGTGGGAGATTAATCATGTGGCAAATTTAATGGAATTATATTTTCAGAAAAGAATTACCAGTCATCTAAATCTCTGAAAGGTTAAAACTATAATTCTGGATTTTTTTTTTTTTTTTTTTTTTTTGCTTTGCTCCACCTTTTTTTTTCCAGTGTAATAAATGCCCCAGGGCTCTGACCCAGCCTTAGAAAAACAGCCAGTAGAGTGGGTTCATGAAAAATAAATTATCCAATTATGGATTAGCAAAACTGTAACAGTAATTCAGTGACAAAGAAAAGGAACACCCTGAAAAAGTGTGTATATAAGAGCCGAAATCCATAGGCTCTTCCCTCCACCTCTCACATTCGCTGGGACAAGCTAAGCTTTGCAGGAACAACATGTCTTGCTCTTCTCGCATCTCCTCCTCCAGGGCTGGGAGCAGCAGGGTGTCCGCTGGTAGAAGCAGCTTCAGCAGTGGAAGCAGATGTGGTCTCGGGGGTGGCTCTGCCAGAGGCTTCCAAGGAGGAACTGGCAATTGTGGCCTGAGTGGGGGACCTAGCAGTGGCTTTGGAGGTGGCTTTGCAGGAGGCTTTGGGAGCTGCTCAGTAAGAGGTGGTCTGGGAGCAACCTTGGGCTCCGGGAGTTGCTTTGGTGGGGGCTCTGGATTCAGCAGCGGTGATAATAGAGGTTTCTACAGCCATGGAGGTGGTATGGGAGGTTGCTTGAGTGGTGGCATTGGTGACGGGGGGCTTTTCTCTGGAGGTGAAAAGCAAACTATGCAGAACCTCAATGACCGCCTGGCCAATTACCTAGACAAGGTCAGAGCCCTGGAGGAGGCCAACACTGATCTGGAGAATAAAATCAAGGCGTGGTATGACAAATTTGGGCCTGGGTCTGGAAATGATGGTTCTGGAAGAGATTATAGCAAATACTATTCAATTATTGAAGATCTCAGGAACCAGGTAAGATACTATCTGTGATAGGCTAAGTTTCTATGATGTATCTTTCACTTTTAGTCAGATCATATACTGTAATGAAAATTCAAAGTCAATGAGTTATTTAAAAATATATTTGCTTGTTTTTTATGCAAAATGGTACATGGTATGTCTTAATGATGACAGCCCACTATGTGACATCTAACCGCATTAATTTTCTGATTGCATCTCAGATTTGAGTATTTCTCCATAAGAGTAAAATGTATATATCATGCCAAGCAGCTAACATGTATATATAAGACTGATTGCAAAGAACCAATTAGTTGAATCTAATTACTTTATGGTTAATTCTAACAGACTAACACATTTTAGTGTCTTAGTAGACTTAAAAGAGTCCTTACGACTATTTTTCTTCCTAGAAAACCTGGTACAAATACTGTATAAAGAGGTAGTGAAACCAACAATGTTTAGCCACTGTTGTATGGGAAATATTTTTTAAAGGCATTTTTCTCTAAGTGAAATTCAACCTCTGTACTATGTTCTGAAAGAGCTCATGGAATAACTGATCTTCCAAACAGTGAAAATCCACAGAAGGGCTATGTTCTGTGCCTATTCCTATAAATGTGCAAATTGTTAACTTTTTTGCAGAAAGATGTAATCCTAAATATACAGGTATCATTACTATGTAAGTTTGCAAATCAATTCCCCATTAAGAGCTAGCTAGTAAGACAGAAAACACCTACCCTCCCAGGCAGGCCTACAGACACAAGGCAAAAATCATGAGTGAACCATTCATTATTATCATCTTTTTCTAGATCATCACGGCCACTGTTGAAAATGCTGGAATCATTTTGCAGATTGACAACGCCAGACTGGCTGCTGACGACTTCAGACTGAAGTAAGACACATCAGACTTGAAAACAAGTGTGACAGGAAAAAATAAAATCCAATCCATTTGCTTAAAAATTTTTCTTAATATCTTTCTGGGGATCATGACCTAAATTCAATTCACAAACATCCCAAGGGTAAACTGTAGAAACCATCATTCCAGGAAAAAAAATAAAATAAAAATAAAAGAGGAGACAAGTTAGGGATGAGGATTTCATTATAAAATTATTAGACATGATTAGGACTAACATCAAACTTTTGTTTTTCCTTATGGGGGAAAATCATCAGAGAAAACTTAGTAACCTTCATTTATCAAAATGCGTAGAGGTGAGAACTTGCTCAATCTGTAGGAAATGCAGGGGACTCTTTGAAAGGTGTCGGGCCAGCTCACTGCTACCTTCTTGCTGCCCCTTTCAGGTATGAAAACGAGCTGTGTCTCCGGCAGAGTGTGGAGGCCGACATTAATGGCCTTCGGAAAGTTCTGGATGACCTGACCATGACCCGCTCTGACCTGGAGATGCAGATTGAGAGTCTCACTGAGGAGCTGACCTATCTGAAGAAGAGTCACGAGGAGGTTGGGACCAGCTCCACAGGAGTGAAAGCCCTGACTTCCATATTTTCCCCCACATCTGTTTTATAAGAATAAACTCAATGAATTTCCCACATCTAAAGACCAGAAAAAGACGAATAATAAGCATAGTATATCTGAACTTGATTCCCCCCCCCCCCCCAGGTGTCCTAGTTTCAAATTCGCACTAGCTCTGCCCATTTTAGGAAGTTGTTGCTTTTCTATTAGCATCACGGTGATCTTTTCTCCTTGGTGTTAGGAAATGAAGAGTATGCAAGGAAGTTCTGGAGGGGATGTGACTGTGGAAATGAATGCTGCCCCAGGAACCGATCTGACCAAATTATTGAATGACATGAGGGCACAGTATGAGGAGCTGGCTGAACAGAACCGCCGGGAGGCAGAGGAGCAGTTCAACAAGCAGGTATCTCCTCTCTGTGGGGCATCTTGAAGCCTGCAGCTACACACTTCTGCTCCTTTCATGGCCTAGAAGAAATGCATTTTATTTCTATTTAGAGTGCAGCCCTGCAAGCACAGATCTCTACTGATGCTGGGGCCGCCAGTTCTGCCAAGAATGAGATAACAGAACTGAAGCGTACCCTGCAAGCCCTGGAAATTGAGCTTCAGTCCCAACTGGCCATGGTATGTGCAAATAGCTTTTCAAAATCTCCAACAGGGAGTTAAGCAAATGCACTTTTTTTTTTCTTTTTCAAGATGTTCACTAGTCACATGATAAAAGTAATGTTATGGAGACCTGTACCATCATGGTTCTAGAAAGCATAAAGCAGTTAATGTACTCTATTTCCATAAAATATTTAATCTGAAAAGATAATGCCAACAAAAATTTCAAAAGCAATGATTAATCAATAGAGGTTGTTATTGAGTGAAAGCACACCTCTAGAACCATATAAAATTGTATACTTTTTAAATCATCCATTGACTTATCTTCATCATGAATTTTTTATTTGCTTTTTCTCGTAGAAAAGCTCCCTGGAAGGGACTCTGGCTGATACAGAAGCCAGCTACGTGGCTCGGTTGTCAGAAATTCAGATGCAGATCAGCAGCCTGGAGGAGCAGATCTGCCAGATTCGGGGTGAGACTGAATGCCAGAACACAGAATACGAGCAATTGCTGGACATCAAGTCCCGCCTGGAGATGGAGATCGAGACCTACCGCCGCCTGCTTGATGGAGAAGGAGGGTAAATGAATGTCAGAAATGGGCCAAAATGCAAACCGTGCATTTTTTTATGAAACTGAAAAGAGACACTGAGGTTGGAATTGTAGTTTCGAAGTAATAAAGTCACAGACACGGTACAATCAAAAGATATCCAGGGGCTGGGGATATAGCTCAATTGGTAGAGTGCTTGCCTCGTGTACACAAAGCCCTGGGTTCAATCCCCAGCACCACCAGAAAAAAAAAAAATTACCCCAAACCAGTAACAGTAGTATATGCCTGTCATCCCAGCAACTCCGGAGGCTGAAGCTGGAGGATCTCAAATTCAAAGCCAGCCTCAGCAACTTAGGGAGACCCTAAGCAATTTAGCAAGACCCTGTCTCAAAAAAGCACTAGGAATGTGGGTCAGTGGTTAAGTACCCCTGGGTTCAGTCCATGGTACCAAAAACCAAAACAGATATCCAAAGCTCCATCATGGAGAATCCCCAGCAGGGAGGGTTTTTTTTCTACCTTTGCAAACTACAAAGGAAAACACAATTCTTCTTTTCTCTAGAAACATAGGATCCAGGGATTCGGTATCGGGTGACTCAAGATCTGGAAGCTATTCTGGTCAAGGAAGAGGTAGACTTTTTCTTTTTCTTTTTTTTTTTTTTTAACATTGATGATAATTTTGTAATTTTTAAATTTTACTTTTAAGTAAAAGCATGGTTTGCTTGTCATATTAAAATGTATACGATTATTTACATAATCTTACCCAGAGAGAACAAACACACTTCATGAATATAATTGAATTTCTCTGGATTTGCGTTTCTGTGAGTTTCCAGACTGACCTTGTCACCCCGTGATTTTCAGATCCCAACAAGACGAGAGTCACTAAGACCATCATAGAAGAGGTGGTGGATGGCAAAGTCGTCTCATCTCAAGTCAGCAGTATTTCAGAGGTGAAAATAAAATGAGCGATTTCCAGGTCAACAAGAGTATCTTTCAAAGAAAAAAAAAATCAAGAAAGACACAAGTGAAGAAATCACATCATTCTAAGTCAACCCTCTGAATATCTTCATGGAAACACTTCAGTCTAGAAATAGATGACTAGCCAATTTTTCTGCATCCTCTGATTTCTTTATTAGATTGCTCTTGAAAGTTGAAATGACAGCCCTGCTCTAATTGCTTCTAGGCTTCAATAAACTTACTCTTGCAAGCTAACAAAATCGTTGCTGAATGTTTTTTCTTTTCTTTTTTTTTCTATTTTATTTTACTTTTATTTTTTATTTTACACTTGCTAGGTAAGTCTGACACTGAACTACGCCCAGCCTCTGTTACTGAATTTTTTAAGAAAACCAATATCTTACTTAGAAATGAGCCTCTCAATTGTGATCTAGCTGCATCATGATGTTACTAGTATTAATTCATTATCGTGTCCCTTCTTCATAAAATTAGTATTATAGCCATCTTGTATGTAGGCATTTTTGACATTGCACAAGAATTGAGTGACACTGTATATTAAATTAGACCTCAGTGTCCCTAACACTGTAGTCAACAACTCAGCACACAAAAAAGGATGAGATCATTTGAACAATCAACTTACCAACAGTTAACGCCCTATTTTTTTTGTGTGTCCATCAGGAAAATGGGGCATTTCATAAGGAAAAAAAAATAAAGAAAGAAACATCAGTTATGCCTCCTACTCTGGGAAGCTTATGCTGAAGGTGGGGAGGAAAGTCGAAACACAAAGAAGATAATAGGAATCAAAAGGAGTGAATAGGAAAGGACTTGATTTCACAATATTCATCAGAAATGCCACAGGAATCAGACATGACGTGTTTGTAAGATGTTTTGGAGACGAGCCAAATAAAGAGCCTTGGGAAAAAAGGTTAGATTATGACATGGTACCAGGTTTCTTTTTAATACATATATTTTTAGTTGTTGATGAACCTTTATTTATCTATTTATATGCGGTACTGAGAATCAAACCCAGTGCCTCACACATGCTAGGCAAGCACTCTACCACTACTCAAAAAATGCAATGCCGTCTTAAATCAAACATGTTTCTCATCAAATCATTACAGTAAATGAAACCCTGAATATTTCTCTTCACTGGAAAATTTAGGAATACATAATGAAGAATATGAACCAGCTGATATAACTTGGATGTTTCCAGAAATGGAAACCTGTTCTATGTAGCCTCCAGTCCCTAGGGCCTTCACAGCTATACCAAGGAAGCCTGTCTCCATGGGTCTTCCCAGATCTAGTCTTCTAGCTGTGGACCCTGCTTTCCTTGGACCTGTATTCATGGCCAATAGTATCCTCATATCAGGGCCACAGTATGAGGCAACTCTAAAAATCATCTGGAGTGAGAACCCTCACTCTGTTTCCTTGGCCTATCTTAAGATGCTGCATTTGTACTAAAGGACTGTTCAGAAACAGAAACATTCAGTTCATTTGTAGGTTCCAAGGTACTGAGACACAATAGAAGCTGTTGCCAAGAGCATCCTTGATTTTTAATACCAACACTATGGAACCATTCTGGATCCTGAAGTGTATTTGAAGTACGGAATAAAAGGTTAAGAACAGAGCATTTATTATTACCTGTCCTAAAATTATTTCTGAATGAAGTAAGAAGAAAATGTCTATGTTGAAACTTCATTGTCCAGCTCGCTGGTCAACTTTTAAGCACACGTTTCTTCTGAGTGGACATACACATGGAAAGGAAGAGCCAGTGTCTACATGTATATGAATTTTCCAGAGACTCATAGGGTTGCTCTTGTCTTTTTGACCTCAAGGGACAATGGACAAGAAGGGTGAGAATTCTAGAAGTGGCATCTGTCATCACAGATTAGAAACAAGATGTATGGCAGGCAGCACAAAGGAAACAACCAAAGGATTCAAAGCTCTGAGGAAAGAAGTCCAAACTTGCCTAATGACTTCATGGAATTAAACAGCGTTCAGACAAGAAGAGGCAAAGGGATGGATATAAATCACCCCAAATGTAGCTCAAGTAATATTATCCAAGCAACCTCCCCAAGTAAAAAAACACTCGGAGTAAGAAGTCACTTTTAAAAATGATAGTGGCTCAGATATGACACGTGCATAACAGAATACATTGGTCCAACCATTTTAAAAGCAACTTAATCATTCATAATATTTATGTCTACGTGAAATGATTGGGTGGAAAGAAGCAAACACTGGAATAACACCTCAATCACTTTAAAAAAAAATTAGTACATAAATGGCATAGAAAGGACAAACCCAGGGTGCATCCCAGAACTGTCATGCGTACAAAGCTTAGGATCCTAGACAGAAGGAGAGATGAGGTGTTTGTTTTGCTGTTCTTTTACAAAGAACATAAAAGCTTAGGGGTGCTCCCAACAAAACTGCAGCTGGACATGCGGTGTGTGGCTCAAGTTTGCCTCTTAATGACAAGTTAGGTTGGGCAATGTGTCCCCCAAAGCTTCATGTGTTGGAAGGCTGGTACTCAGTGTGACAATGTGAGGAAGTGGGACCTTTAAGAGGCGGGGCCTAATGGGAGGTCTTTAAGTCAGTTGGGGGGATGCCTTTGGAAGGGACTGTGGGACACCAGTTTCTCTCTGACTTCCAATTTTCAAAGCAGTCTCTCCTCCTACCCTCACCCCCACCATTGCTATCTGCTACAAGGAACTGCAGCCAAAGGAGAGCCTCATCAGAACTGATATCATGCTTTTGACTTCCAGCAGCCAAAAGTTTGAACTTAATAAACCTCTGTTCTCTAGGAAGTTATCCTGCTTCAGGTTTTTCATTATAACTAATAAAAACAGCTGTTATAGGTAGGATCCAAGTGATCCAAAAAGGAGGAAAGCAAACTCATGTATAAAAGCAATATTGCCGTAGCTACGGGGGGGGGGGGGGGGAAATTACAAAAATGTATTTGTCACTATCCTATAAATGTACACCTATAAAATGCAATTAAAAAGTTACACTGACCTCTGAATAAATTGGTCAATAAATCACTCACAACTTTTAGGCAAACTTCTTTATCCTTCTCAAAATGGATGCAAGAACCACTCAGAAGTTCCAGAGTGGGGAAGAGCTGAGGCTCAGTTCAGAAACAGAGGTTGGCTGTCAGCTCATGGGGACAACTAGCCAGTTTAATGACAGATTTCTTTCTTTTAAACTACCCACCCCAAAACTTGCCCAACATTCCAGAAACAGTTTTCAAGAATGGGTAACAATCAAAGATAAGTTATAGATCTATAATATGGAGAAATTAAAAGATCAAGGCCACTCAGTTTGGGAAGCTAGTAAATACTTGTCACAATTGTGGGGAGAGGAATTTTCTCAGTAATCAATCATTTCTCATACCAAGACCTGTTTGATTCCTTCAAGACCCTGATCCAGACATCTAGTATATGTGAAAAAGTGTTTATTGTGGTGTTTTCTAAAAGAGAAAATACATGACAACAGCCTGAATATTCATCAACAAGGAAATGATTGAATAAACTGTGTGCATCCAGACACCAGGATGTAATGCAATCTTAAAAATAAACCTGACCAGTGTGATTCTGCATCATGAACAACCAGAAGAATGAGAAGTTATACTCCATTTATCTACATATGTCAAAGTGCATTCTCTCATATTCTACTGTCATGTATAACTAATTAGAACACATTTTAAAAATCTGAGCTTATTAACTTGGTAATATATCCACGATATTTTGTTACATGAAAAAAGCAAAATGCAGAGTCAGCACATTGTTTAAACAAACATACTACAAGGAGAGAGGAGAAGCCCATATGTTTTTGTATGTGTTTGTACAAACATAGAAAAACGTGCCCATGTCCAAAGGTTAACAGTGATGACCTGGTGAGCTGGTAAGGAACTGGTGAGCAGCAGAAGATTGCTCACATTTTTTTTTTTTTTTGATCATCTTTCAATTGCTTGCCCTGGTCCAAGGAGTAGAGTTTACCTTTGTGTTTAAAAACAAATTAGAAAATGTATAGCTGTTTATGGTTCTACTTGTGATATAAAAGCATCACAATAAATGAATAAGTCTTTAATAAGTCTGAAAACTTTTTGAGAAAAACAAAGGAGGAGAAGGAGGAAAATTAGAAGGGGGAAAGAAATTTACATTTCATGAGCACTTACTATGTATATAAATAATTGGTTTGCTTTATTTCACTTAATCACAAACCCTAGTTAGGTATTACTGTTCCTTTTTACAGATGAAGAAAATGGAGCTTAGAGAGGTTAAACCATTTTTTCCATGTCACACAGCAAGTGAGGGACAACATTAGAATATGAAGCCCAGTCTTCCCAATTCCACAGCCGTGTTCTTTCTACTCTACCAAAATCAATTAATTCTACTGTGTCACATCCTAAATTCACACAGTGACCCACTCTACGAAAGTTACCCCCAAAGTTTTCATTTTTCCAAAGCTGCTTCTCCAAAATCTGAAGTAAAGAGGCAAGCTTCAGGATTTCTAAAACAGTTTTTCTATCAACATGGAGAGGAGAAAGCTGCTGAAGTCAGAGAACAGAAGAGCTAACAAGAACAACCTAAGTTCCAGGTGCGGTGGTGCATGCCTGTAATCCCAGCGGCTCAGGAGGCTAAGGCAGGAGTTCAAAGCCAGCCTCAGCAAAAGGGAGGTACTAAGCAGGTGAGACCCTGTCTCTAAATAAAGTATAAAATAGGGCTGGAAATGTGGCTCAGTGGTCGAGTGCTTCTGAGTTCAATCCCCAGTATCCACCCCCACTAAAAAAAAAAACAATCTAAATCTAAGCTCAGGATGAAGGCAGGGTACCTATCAAATGCCCCTTTGGCCATTAAACTGAAGCAAGATTCTAAGTCAAGGGCAAAACTAGAGAGACCAGCTTTCTAAGTAGGACAGGAGCATCTTCAGAACTTACAATGGCAGCCCAGATGAGGCTGAGGCAGAGGGGCAGAGTTTACAGAAAACTAGATTTTATGAGCAAAAAAAAAAA